TGTTAAAAAAGAAAATAAGTGAAAGACATAAAGGGAGATTTCACAAAAGGGAATATACAAATATCAAATAAGTACATGAAAAGTTGTTTGACATAATTATCCATTAAGGAAATAGAAATTAAAATGTGATATCCCTACACATCTATCAGAATGACTCAAACAAAACATAGTAACACCACCAAGTGCTGGCGATTATGCAGATTACTCAACCACTGCTACAGGAAATGTAAAATGGAAATATGTACAATGACAAATTAGTTTGCAGTGTCCTAAAGAAGCACATATATACTTATCATACAACCCAACAACTTTACAACCCCAGAGAAAAAAACAACTTATGTTCATATGGAAGCTTGTACATAAATATTTATAGCAGCTTTATTTGTAACAGCCCCAAACTGGAAACAACCCAGATGTCCCTGAAGCAGTGAATAATTTTTTAAAAAAATGTGATACATCCATACCATAGAATACTACTCAGAAATGAAAAAAATGAACTACTGATATACACAACAACTTGGATGAATCTTAAGAGCAAAATGCTGAGTGTAAAGAGCCAATATCAAAAGGTTTCATATTATATGATTCCATTTATAAAACATTCTTGCAGTGACAGAATTACAGAGGTAAGGAAACAGATTAGTGATTACAAAAAGTTAAAGTTGGTGGGTTGGGGAAGGGGGAGGTATGACTATTAAGAAAGAATTTTGTAAAACTGATGAACAAAAATAGAACCAGAGTCACAGAAGTATCTAACAGAAACAGACTGTCCAACCTATGAGGAAAGTAAGGGGGTGAGGGGGTAAGAGATCAACTAAAGGACTTGTATGCATGCATATGAGCACAACCAATGGACACAGACTGTAGGGAAGATGAGGGCATGTGCTGGGGGGTGGGGGTGACCGGGGAGAGGTCAATGGGGGAAAAAGGAGACTTATGTAATACTTTAAACAATAAAGAATTAAAAAAATAATTTTGTGGTAGTGAAAAAATTCTGCATCTTTATTACTACTGGTGATTATAGGATATACACACGTGATAATATGACATAGAATTATACACAGAGTGTGTACCAATGTCAGTTTCCTTTTTTGATATCCTATATAATAAAAGGCTAATATGCAAGTCGACTGAATGGTAGAACTACCGGTCACTATGATACACATTGACCACCAGGGGGCAGACACTCAATGCAGAACCTGCCCCCTGGTGGTCAGTTTGCTTCCACAGGGGGAGCACCACTCAGCCAGAAGTTGGGCTCACAGTTGGTGAGCGCAGTGGCAGTGACGGGAGCTTCTCCCACCTCCAAGGCAGTCGGACATCCCCTGAGGTGTCCTGGATTGTGAGAGGGCACAGGCTGGGCTGAGGGACCCTGCACTCCAGTGCACGAATGTCATGCACTGGGCCTCTAGCTGTACTATAATTATGTAAGATGTAACCATTGGGGGGAACTGGATAAAGGTTATAAGGAGACTCTCTGTATTTTCTGTGGATCTCTAATAATCTCCAAATAAAAGGCTTAACAACACATAATGCATCCTTGAAAGTATAACTTAGACTTAGAGCATGAGATTTCTTAGAACTCAAGTCAAAATAAATACATCGTTCATTAATTAAAAATTAATGGCCTAGTATATAAGTGTTCATAGCAGCTTTATTTGTAATAACCCCAAACTGGAAACAACCCCAATGTCTAAAAAACGAATGAATTATTGGTACATGTAGTATGGATGTATCTAAACATAGTAATGCTGAGTGAAAGGAGTCAGACGAAAGAGAAAATAAATATGACTTCATTTATAGAAAATTCTAGAAAATATAAATGAATCAATAGTGACAGAAATCAGATCAATCATTGTCTGGGGGCGCTGTTTGTGGAGACAGGTGAGAAGAAGGAATTATATGGAGCAAGAACGAACTTTTGGGGATGATGAATTTGTTTACTATCTTGATTGTGGTGATGGTTTCATATACACTGAGTGGCCAGATTATTATGACCACCTGACGTTTGTAGGCAAATTAGGTATAATTTTGCGCTGAAGTTGCTAGAGGGCCAGACCATTATAAATAGGAAAGCATGTTGTTTACGACAGTAGAAGTGATTTTTTTTCTGAAGATATGGGTAAACAATGCAGTTTAACAGCCTTTGAACGTGGGATATATATTATTATGAGTAGCCAGATTATTATGACCACCTGATGTTTGTAGGCAAATTAGCCATACACTGCATCATATGGGATATGGAAGATGAAGGCCTATTCGAACACCTTTGCTGTCTGCAGTTACTAAAATAAAATGCCTCCAATTCT